ATACCTTTGGTATCATTCGTTTCATTATTTGCATCATTTGAGGCTGGCTTCATTCATTCATTTGGAACTTTAACTTTAATCGACATAGATCATGTGAGCATAATGAAATCCATTGTCATGAAACCCCACGTTGAAAAGAGGTAGAATCACTGTCCAAAGTGACCCAAAACATGCTAGCGTTTATGGGAATTGAACCCCGCCAAATCCCTATATTAGCAGTATAGGTTTGAAGACTAAGAGATATAAGGAGACCCATACCCGGCATGTCGGACAGTCTCATCTCATGAGAGTTACATGAACCTCCGCCCATACCGGAAGAAGGCATCACCACTCATAGCTAGTCTATTGGTGCTCAGTATAAAGTTCCATTACATTCTACTCATACGTCATGGAAGGTGGATTCTAGTATGAGGACATCATAGCTCAATAGATGATTTCTCATCTCATCATTAGTATTCAATATGTTAATCTCAGTACTTTCATTAGAGTGTTCATAGAGACTGGTCTCTTCATTAACTTTATACTCTCATAGGTGAGTACGTTTTGGTAACATTTACTTAGGCTCACTTGAGATTTCTCTCCTCTTTTACATTAGCTTCATATTATGGTGTCACCATATTCATTATCATTAGCACATTTGCTCTTCATAGTTACTCACCCCTTTTTATGTTAATTTTCATTTCATCATATGCCAATGCACTTGGCCATTTAGTGTGTTTTACACTCTTACTTAACCCTTCTAGGATTTCATCATTCCATTGTTCATTTCATCATATGTCAATGCAATTGGACGTCTAGTGCATTTTACACTCGTACTTAACCCTTCTAGGGTTTCATCATTTCATTACATACATCTTAGGTTCACTTACTTTTAAACGAATGCTAGACTTGTAGGTTTATATATACAAGCCATGAGACTTAATTCATAGTTCATTTAAGTGAACTCGCATCTTCCTGAGATTATGTGGTACAAGACTTATGCATCTTGTATATATGCCAAGATCTGGATTTCAATCTAAGTAGGCAGCATTATTCTTGAACAATAATGGCAAGGAACCCAGTTTTCAAATCTCTTGAACAATAGTTACATTTTTTTATTCATTTTGGTTTGATCCATATGTCTTGGGGACCCATGTTCGAGCCCCAATGCCTTCATTGAACTAAGAGGATGTGGGATCGAACCCCCACAACCTCATTTACTTTTTATTTTTATTGCCTTCAAATTTCTCTCTTTTGGCCGAGGGGTTGTGGGTTCGAACCCCCACATCCCCTCTTTAATTTCGTTTCATTTTTATCCTTAAATCTGCCTAGGAGGTCGTGGGTTCGATTCGCACACCTCATATGTCTTTTTTTCATTTCTTTTGACTCTCCTTTAATGCCTAGAGGTCGTGGGTTCGATTCCCACGCCTCACATTTCCTTTCTTTCATTTTGTTTACTCTCCTTCACTGCCCAGAGGTCGTGGGTTTGATTCCCACACCTCACATTTTTTTTCTTTTACACTTCCTTAAATCTGATTGAGAGGTGGTGGGTTTGAATTCCACTCCTCTCATTTCTTAATTTTTTCTTTTAAGTTACATTTTCCAGCCAATACCATGGTTCGAATCACCTTCACCACATTTATTTTTACTTCCTTATTTTCATGGTTTTTAACATGGTGAGGTCACGAGTTCAATCCTCCATGAACTCACTTGTTTTAATTCATTTTTCAACATTTTGAATTCTCTTTGCTGACCGAAATTCATCACTAGAAGCTGGAAATTTTCTTTTAATTTTTCAGCATCCTTTCATCAAGTTACCCTTAGTTCTTAGGGGAATTTCGTAGAGCATTTAGACCGCTGTAGGTGGGTTTTCATGGATTCATTTAGACAAGAGATTATCCCTCAAATCGGCCACATTTCTACTCATATGAATATCACATTTACATCAACATGTGTACATGAAATATAAAGAACTATCTTACCATTTCAAGTCCTAAACCACGAACAATAGCCACAGAAACACACACATACGCACGTATTTACATCTTCGGAGACATCAACATAAGTCACATAATTCCAAACGTACATATAAACACATAATCATCACGAAAACACGTTTCATCCCTAGTTTTCTACCAGCAAACATAACCAACCTATGATTCAACGGGAGCTAGTGATAGGTACATGCAACGGGGAACAATCATAGTTTTTGGAATGAATATTTTGAACCTTAAGGGGTCTCTTGAGAAAAGGACCAAGAGAGACGAGAACCCATACCTTTTTCACGTTAAACTCTTGACTTGCGTCCCAGAAAACTTCACCTAAGAACACGTCTAGGCCTCCTCAATATAAACTCCACTCGAACATGGTTTGTTTTTATGGTTTTGTATCTTATTTTGGCAGAGAAAAAACGTGATAAAGAATAAGAAAGATTGAGCGTGAGAGTGGAGAGATAAACACGAGAGAGTGGGAGTTGTAGGAGGCTTAGGAGTCTAGTTTTAGGACTTAGTCAATAAGGTTTTGTTGATTTAATAAAAAGCTGATTTTTATTTTATTTTAAATCAGATAATGAATAATAATTATTAATTAATTACATTAATTCAATATCTTAAGATAAAAAATCACTTAAATCATTGCTTCCACCTAGGTTCGAACCCAGGTGGAGCAAGACTTCACTTAAAGAGCCCAATTTCTCTCCCCAAAATACCCCTCCACCTTATTAATTAAATAATTAACTGTATATTTATGGTAATTACGATACTACCCTTATCTTGGAAAAAGACCATTTTACCCCTAGACCCTCCAAACCTAAGATTTTCCCTTTTTAAGTTCGGTAAAGACTCATTCAAGTAAATCTTCATATTCGAGAGCCCTACATGGTTGTACAAAACCTTTCAAAGCTCAACTAACTTTCCAAGTTAGTTGGCTTGGCTGTAGCAAGGGTTTTGATGTCTGGTTCTACGTGCATCAATATGTGTGAACCTATTCTAATCATAGGCATTCTTGACACATTAAGCATTTCTTATGTAAACCATTTTTAGGGTTGTTGCAGCATCTACTTAGCGTTAGATGACTTTTTAAAAGGAGCAAGTAGGTGATGCACCTACTTAGTATTGGTGGACTGAATTACAAAGGAGCAAGTAGGTGATGCACCTACTTAGAATAAGTGGACTGAATTTAAATAAAAAGAGCAAGTAGCTCATGCAGCTACTTAAAAACATTTGGCAGAAACTAAGAAGGTGATGCACATTCTGTCTTAAAAGTAAAGGACCATATTATTTCCAAATTTATTAAAGGGAAAACGTCCAAAAGTGCCTCTAAAGCATCAAAGTTATCATATCTCTTTCATATTCTCCATAAATTACTCCCAAGGAAAGCCATGGAACCTCCAAGAGTTCTCTTCTACAGCTTCATCATTAGATTCTGAAGGAAAGAGGTGTTTTTAAAGTAAAATATGGTAGAACATCTCACATCTTAAGGATTTCAAGTGAATAATCTAATTTAACATCGACATAAGTTATAACGGACAACCTAAACCTTAAAGAATCCAAGTCTTGGCAATTGAGGTTTCTTTCTAGCAAGGTAAGCTGTGGAAATTTTCATCCCTCTCTTGTTCTTACATTATTTGTAAAAGTTTGTATGTGTTAATCAACTGTTAAGTGTTGTCTCTGTATGGTGTGAGCTTGGTGAATATTCAAGAAGGAGGTGCTTGTTTGGACATACATGGAGTGGAGTCCCCTTAAATTTTGATTGTGAGCTTGTTTTGAGAATTTAAATGTTAGTTGGAATTCACAGGGTGTTGATCAGAATTCATATGTTCATATTGCAATTTCCATATTGTGAGTTTTAGGGACTGTTTTGTGTATTATAAAAATAAGAGGGTCTGGCCAGATATGTAGAGAAGTTATGAAAACTGGTTAGAGGATAGAGCATTGAAATTGTACTGATACACCACTTAATTGAGTGTTACATGATCTTACTTCCTGCCATTCCTTTAAAACTATTTTCTATACATGATTAGGGGAAAATGGATAGAAGAACTCTCGATGGGATCAATTTTAGATATTCTGTGAATTACAGTTTTGGTCTGATCAAGTGATCCAAACTTGTTTAGAAACTAATATTAGTTTTTATCATTTACTCCATTGTAGATAAATAATCTTAAAGGAAGATGGTTAACTCATTGTGATATCCATCATTGTGCATCAAGGTATGTAAGGCTATTCGATTTCCTATTTCCTTGGTATGAATCCAACACTTATAAGTTTTCTAAGTGCTCTTGGTAGTAATTGATCCATAAATGCAGTCCGTACACCCTACAAAATTAAAGTGAGCACTTAACTATGAGTTTGTTTATAAATGTGCGTTTTGCTCTATTAAGTGTAAGCATGCAAGGTTTACACTTGTTTCACTGTCAAAGTACCCTTGGCACATATTTCTCTTATATAAGTCAAAGTGATGCTTGATTACACGTGGTGCATATGTTTATAGGATAGATACACGATCTGTCCATATCTTGCGAACTTGCTTCAATAGTCTATTCCGTCATATATGTCATCTTTTCACATGTTCATATTTTCCCTTTATTGGTTATTACTCCCATTGTGTTAGACTATTATGTTGCCTCACAAGATGTCAACTTTCTCTATTGTACATTTATATGTATGTACTTTCTTGGAATATGTGTCGGTACTTAAGTTGAATTTGTCCACATTCTTCCTTGGTTCCACATTCATGTATACCTTGTCTTTGATATTAGTTTGTGAGTATTTGGCTATCATATAGATTTCAAATCTCTTAGCTGAAAGTTATATGTCTTCCCTTCGTATGAGCTTCAATTGAGATGTCAAAAATGCGTACTTAGTCATAGAAGAAGTATTATGCTGCTGTCACATTTGCTTCCACATCATTATCATTATCGTTTTTCCATATTCATATGTCTTCTACTACTGGTTCATAGTTCCAAATCTCAACAATGATTATGACCACTGAAACATCAATCCCAAAGGAGTTACTATCAACAAAAGAACAATCTCAAAAGAGTTATGATTATCCAAAGTACATAGTCTCAAAAGAGTTATGAACATCAAAGCAACAATCTCAAAGATTAAGAAAAATTCTAAGTGAAGAAATTTGTATAATTATGGGTGGCAGCCCAGGTGCAAAGCCTAGCATGGGTCGATCCCAATTGGTATAGATGGGTGGCAGCTCAAGGGTGAAAGAATAGCATGGTCCAATCCCGATTGGTATATGAAGGTGGAAGCTCAGGTGCGAAAGCCTAGCATGAGCCGATCCCAATTTATGGAATTATGAGGACAACATCCCAGAGGTTAGAATGCCTAGCATGGGTCATCCTCTCCTACAAATGATCATCTGGTTATTTCTATCATATGGCTTACAAAAATTATATCTCATTGAAAAAAGTAAAGAAAAGAATATAACATACACAATTCCACAAGTATAAGCAAAGGTGGTCTCTAATCCTTATCTACTGGTATTTGGTTTCACTTGAGCTCTCATGTCACATATGGTTGTATTATGCCTTACGTATTCAGTACATTCTTTCGTACTGATGTCCCTTATTGGGGCGCTGCATTTCATTTTGCAGGTACAAGTATTCAAAAGTAGATCTGCCCAATAGAAGCACATGATATACTCAGTTGTTGTTGGTGAGCTTCATGTTGATTCAGGGCTTTGCTGAGTCTTTACTATGCATATTTTCTAAGCATGTATTCCAATAGAGGATTGTAGACATTGTAAAGCTATCATATGCATTCTACAGACTTGATGGACGAGCTTTCCTTTCTAATGGCAACAAAGAAAAAGAAAGAGATATGTGGCAAAGAATGAATTGATAGAGGTGAAAGTTTAGCTGATATAAAACAAAATCTAAAGGGCTAGGAGCTCTGGCCGGTAATGAAACTAAAGCTTCACGCGGGTCTTACTTTTTTTTCCAACTTTAAAGGGGAATAAAGTATGATTGCATAGTGTAGATAAACTCGTTATCAGGGAATAACAACGACAAGCAGTACGATGAAATCTAATAAAAGGCAGAGTAGGTAGTTTTCAAAAACTAGGCTTGCTTTCTCTGTTGGTTTAATTCGCCACTAGGTGGAATCAGACTATCGACTCTCTATCATAGTTTCACTTCTCACATGTTTGGTTCAGTTAGTTATCATGTGTTGTATATACAACTTTTCATCAGTAATTTGCATTATAGTTTACTTTCTCATCATAGGTTACTTGTAAAGCATGTATCCATAGGGTACTTGACCGCCTCATCTAGGGTTGGGGTATGATAGTATGTATGGTTTTCCTTGTGAACTTAAAGTGATGCACTGCACCAAGTATCAATATAGTGTTACTTGGGAGGTTAATAAGCTAAAAGAAGAAGTTCACCTTAAAGAGGAAAATACTTACAGTAAAATGCTCCCAAATGTAGCTTAAATTCTATGTGTGATTTTATATGTTGTTTGGACTTTGAATATGTCTATATGAAGTATGTGAATGATATAAATGCTATTGTATAAAGGTTTTATGAAATTTTCATAAAAAGGCATGAAGTACGATTTCAAGAAAAATTTCCCTTTTAAATGTATGTTTTTGCATAGTTGCTATACTTAGTGAATTCTTGTACTAATTTAATTCTTCTCTACTTTTTACACAAAGTGTAGGTTATGGAAGCTTAAAGGATGTATCTATTATTGAGGAGGTTTATATGTGATTTCAAAGCTCAAAAAAAGGAATTCTTAAGTCCAAGGATGTCCTATGTTTAGGTTACTGGCAAGTCTTTTATTATTGTACTATATTATAATATAAGGATTATGTACCTAAAGTACTCTTGATGTTGAGTCTAGGATGGAAAAAAGAGACTAGAGTCTTTAACTATGTATATGATATATATATATATATATATATATATATATATATATATATGAAGTAATGTAGAGCATATGATGTGCTAAGAAAGTTTTAATTTTTTTCCTAAATTTACCTATGACAATGCGATGAATGATAACTATGGCGTATTTGTCCTTTGAAAGGACAAATACGCCATGTTACTTCCAGGCGCTACTCCCCTGAGGTGACAAACGTGGTATCAGAGCATGAGGTTTATGAAAGTGGTTTTAGGTTCCAAAGTCTCATATTGCCACGTCCAGTCGAGTCTCGATCATCGGTGGTGAGTCGCGACACATCTAGGATGATATAGTTTCCCTTCTTCAACATTCTCATGTCTTTCTATAGAATTTAAATCTATAAGATCTCTCTCTTATGTTGTCTTGTCCGGTGGTCTTTTAGATGTGATTGATTGGGTGAGATGGTATCTCTATATGCTTGATGGAGAAAAGGTGAGTTTTGATGCTTATCTTGGTTTTATGGTTTGATGAGTACGTGTGAAGGTGAATTTTTGCATGCTTTTATTATGTGATGTCAATTATGGCTATGTATGTGAAATATAAGAAATGATAGGTTATGTGGATAGGATGTCCTTCGTGGTTATACATGAAAAGTATGTGAAATGACATGCATTTTTGATAATTATGTGTTATGATATGGTTTAAGCATGTTAGAAGTTTTTATGGATAAAATGAGACTCTTTTGGAATAGTGTATTTCTATATGGTTTTGCATGATAGTAGCCTAATGTAATGATTTGAAGTTGAAATGTTTAGTGATCACCTATGTGTTATGCCTCGTATTTTTTTATACGTAGTGCGCATCGTGATCTAGTAGACGTAAGTCCGGGGAATGAGATTTTATTTTAAGTTCCAAGTGATTAAAGAAATATTAGGCAAGGATGTTAATTCCAAATGTGATATTAAGTATGATTTGGCTAATGTAAGTGCCATTAACTTTAAGTGAGGGATTAATTAGTGGCTGGTTAGGATTAATTTAATCCAGTGGGCCCCACCACTCATAATTGGTGGCTGATTAATATTTAATCCAGTGGGCCCACCACTCAAGGCAAAAAATTAAAAAGATCAGATTATGAGCTGGCCTTAGTGGACAGGTGTAGAGGGGGGCTGCCTCCACTTCATACTATTAAATGAGGTGGAGAAATCCACTCCATGCTAAATAAAGTGGTGAAATGCATTGCTGCATATCATCTTCTTCTTCACCAATTGTCTTAGGCAGCCATGGAAATGGAGAAACCAACCCTGCAACTCTTGGCCAGCAGCTGCAAATAATTTGGTTAGTAATTTCCTTGTTTGGTGTGTTAATTCTTTAGAATACCTTTGTTAATTACCCATTAATTTTAAGAAGGGGGTGTGACCAGTAGCTTAGGAAGTTTGTTTTAGTTATTGAATGTGCTAAGTATGAACGGAAACCATAATCAGATTATTAGTGGTGTCGTGTTGGTGCTTGGGCTGTTTTGATTAAAGCAAACTGCGGGAAAATTCTGTTTTGGCATTATGTATATGTTAAATGTGATTATGAGTATATAATCCAAAGGATGAATACAATAAGGTAGATGTGTTGCGAATTATAAAACGAATTATCGCTCGGTGTGTCGTTGCTTCGCTGCTATGGTTGCCGAGACGAAACTGTATTGGGGAGGGAGCTGTTTAATATGATTTGTTGGGTTATATGTGTTATTGGTATTGCTGTGGATAATTTGGGTTGTTGTCGGATTGGGACGAAGTAAGGAAAATAGGGGAAGTGCTGCCGAATTTTCGTTTGATTATTAGCTAGCTTACAAGAAAGTAAAGCACGATGTTTATCTAATTGCGGCACGATTGTTGCTTGTTATAGATTAATAGCTTGAGCAGTAAATATTGGACGTGCGGCTCGATTATACGGTATGTAACGCTGTCCCTTCTTTCTTTGTTTGGCATGACTTTTAAAAATAAGCGAATAACGGACAGGTTTGATACGTACCTCTAGAGCGTCTAGGTGACGTATATTCTTGCTTCCACAATTATTCCTCTATATATCGGCTATGTCTAAGGCTATGATGATCTCTCATATCTATGGTAGTGCTTCTTAGAGTCATTGAGATTTTACGTTTCCATATCGTATTAAAGGTTCATAATCTTGATAAAACATTAATCTTTGGTAATACTCCTTGCTGGTTCACGTTGATTGTTCTATTGAGTTATAAGAAATGATTTTAATTGCATATGGTTGCTCATAATATTCTGCTCGTGCATAGAGTCATTTATCATTTCACCGAGTCCCGGGCCGGGTAATGTTCGTGCGGAGTTTCTTGCATATGTCACCGAGTTCCTCACTAGAGGGCCGGGTATGTATATTATATATATGATTGGTGATGAGGATGGTTATGATGATGATGATGACGGAGATGACGTGATGATTATTTTGTCGAGCCCCTTACTAGGGAAGCTGGGCACCTTATATGTTAAATATATGCATGATTTTCACTTAAAAGGGTATATGTGTAGCGATATTTTGTTTCGACTTGCCATATTGGTATCCTGTCATCTTTACCTTATGCTTTACATACTCAGTACATTGTCCGTACTGACCCCCCTTTCCTCGGGGGGCTGCGTTTCATGCCCGTAGGTGTAGACGCACAGTTCGGTGATCCTCCCGCCTAGGATATCTACTCTGCTGATTGGGAGAGCTCCACTGTTCCGGAGCCCAGTCGTTTTGGTACATAACTTTTTGTGTAGTCTTTTGCTCGTCTATGGGTATGGCGGGGCCTTGTCCCGTCGAGTTTCATTACTGTACTCTTAGAGGTCTGTGGACATTATGTGGGTTGTATATATATGTTTTGGGTAATGGTCTGGACATGGTTTGTTTGGGATGTCCGCTTGTATAGGGGCGGCCTTGTCGGCTGCGTACATCATTGTGTATTGCGTAGTGGCAGCCTTGTCGGCTTGCGTATGTTATTATTCTTTGAATAGTGGCGGCCTTGTCGGCTCGCGTATGTTGTTACGGTTGAATAGTTATGACTCCTTACGAGACAGGTCCTCTTTATATATATATGACGTTGGGGTTGGCTTGATTTGATTAAATTCCATATTGTCTTAGTTTCAGTTGGTTATACTTAGCAGGTTTGTATGTGGGTGTCCAAAACGGGCACTAGTCACGGCCCATCGGGTTGGGTCGTGACAAAGAGTGGTATCAGAGCGGTTCTTCCTCGGAAGTGTCTACAGACCGTGTCTAATAGATTCTTGTTTATCGGTGTGTTGTGAACCACATCTATAAACAGGAAGCTACAGGACATTTAGGATGTCATTCTTTCTTCTTATTCTAGATCGTGCGATAGAGCTATATTAACAGGATAATCCCTCTCTAACGAATCCGTGTGTTTTCAGCTATGCCTCCAAAGAAAGCAACAACGGCCCAGAAGGGAAAATCGGTAGCAGAAGGTACTAGTTAGACCTGGAGAGTTACTAGGGCCCGTGCCCAGTCTATGCCTGGTATTATGTTCCAGTCGGAGAGCTATGCTACACCGCCACCGCCAGAGGAGCTTAGAGCAGCAGCAACTCCAGTTCGGGGGACACCACCAGCCCCCGAGGCCCCAACACCTGAACCTCCAGCTCCTCAGTCAGGGGCGGAGGATAGGGCCATGAGAGATGCGGTTCAATTGCTGACTAGATTAGTGGCAGATCAAGCTCGCAGGCATGGACTAGGAGTTGATCATGCGGACAGATCTGATAGCTTAAGGGCTCGTGACTTCTTAAGTTGTAATCCTCCAGAGTTCTTTGGGTCAAGACCCCAGGATGGTTCGCAAGAGTTTATTCGTCAGATGCAGCGTACATTGAGGATAATCAAGGCTTTGGAGACCGAGTCTGTTGAGTTGGCTACGTACCGTTTGCGGGATGTAGCTATTAATTAGTGTGAGTCTTGGGAGTTATCTAGGGGTGAGGGTGCTCCTCCAGAGGTATGTGATGAATTTGTGGAGGCTTTCCAGGGCCACTTCCTGCCTCCAGAGATGAAGCGAGCTAGAGTCGATAGATTCTTGCGTTTGAAGCAAAATGGCAGGAGCGTTCGAGAGTATAGCCTCCAGTTTGATTCATTGTCTAGGCATGCGCCTACTATTGTGGCTGATATGGCAGACAGGGTACATCGTTATGTGATGGGATTGGATCGTTATTTGATTGATGGTTGTATGGCAGTGACTCTTCAGCCAGGTATGGACATTGCTCAGGTGCAGGCATATGCACAGGGGGTAGAGGATCGGCACCGGGGACGTCAGCCAGATAGAGATTATAATAGAGGCCAGCATAAGAGGGCTAAATTAGCAGGTTATCCTGACGAGTTTCGAAGCGGGCAGTCTCAGCAGCATGTTAGATTTTCTTCCCAGCCAGCACAAAGTGCACCCCCACATTTCATGGGTAGGGGGTTCGATCGTATGGGATATTCGGAAGTTGGTCAGAGCTCTAGGGTGTTAGGGTCACAGATGGGCAGGGGTTTGAGCCAGTCGAGGCCACCTTTGCCTCGGTGTTCTCATTGTGGTATGTCCCATCCTGGGGAATGTCGTTGGGCTACAGGTGCATATTTTTCTTGCGGCCGTCAGGGCCATACTATGAGGGAGTGTCACCTTAGAGTTAGTGCAGGTGGTATGGCACAGCCTACAGGGTCCGTTGCTGGTTCATCTTCTTCTGTGGCTATGCGCCCTACGGGGCAGGGTATTCAGGCGCCAGCAGGCCGTGGTAGAGGACGTGGTGGAGCTTCCAGTTCTAGCGGTGCCTCAAACCGTATATATGCTTTGACTAATAGGCAGGATCAGGAGGCGTCACCTATTGTGATCACATGTATATTATCACTATTCTCCCGAAGTGTGTATACATTGATAGACCCAGGTTCCACCTTATCATATATATCTCCCTTTGTTGCTAGTAGGATCGGAATAGAGTCTGAGTTGATAGAACCATTTGAGG